CCCCAAGTAACCCCACTCAAAAAGACATATATAGATGTATCTACGTCTTTGCCCCAATCCTACACACCTGACCAACTCTAAGATGTGTCGTTGTCTCCCTCCATTGCCATAAATCTTTAAAAATCATAATTGTTAATAAGACTTCAAAGGGTATCTGTAAAGAAAGTGATTTTACCAACAGAAATTAGTAGATTTTGGTTTCCCATGAATAAAAGAAGGAAATTCCAAAATCGTAGTTTTAGCACAAAATTAATACTGTTAGGTGCATTATCACTCGTGTTACATCACAGTAAAATGATGTCATATCAGTGTGACGTCATGCACATTCAGGTGATTACTTTATGAAGAATCGAGAACATGCGTTGTGGCATTATGTTTTCCAACAAACATGTTGATTGACATTGTCCATCAAAATGTCACGATGACATTTTCGTCACTTATCGCAACTGCGACGACCTCTGGACTAAAACATGACTTGGACAGGTGCCCGATTTCATTTCGTGCGTCTGTCCCGTTACATTTTACGGAGATATGATGCTTTTTAAGGTTGACTACCTGATGTAATCCACTCCCCTCCTCCGTGAGAGAACTCGATTGCGTTAACACAGCCATAATGTGCTTTGAGATCGCGTCGATATAGATTATTAGCTACCGAGATTCTCTTTCTCAGGAGCGAATGCCCCAGCTGAGAGTCATCGGGACCTAGCTCTCTTCGGCACAAAAATGGCAAGGGATTGGTGGAGTTTTTCCATCTTCCTTTGAGCGTATGGGTCTCTGCCATTATTCAACAGACATCGGGCCTTGTTGTCAGCTAGTTGAGATTCATATGAAGGTTACTTCACATTTTGACAGCTGTTTTTGCTCTCCACGGTGTCCTGCGTTTCGATGCATAATGGCCTCCACATTGAGATTCGTTCGGTAGTTATCGACATCTTCCGGTACATGTCGGGCCACTCGGTCAACCATGCATGCATTGTTCAACACCTCGGAGGTTAAGTTTGTAATCGTAGATGTGAATGAATACCGTTAAAGCCGCACCAGCAACGTTGCAGTTTTATCGCTACGATCGGAACGGTTTGCCAACATCTGAAACACTAAAATTTGGATTAAAATATTTAAGACAAAATCGCATTTTGAAGTTTCCATTATGTAATATGTACCTTTTTTCATATTGATTTCATATTTTTTCCGTGGGCAAATTATAACCCTAGTAATGGGTCACGTGACTATTTCAGACGGGGGCTATCAGAAAGATGAGCGGACTGATTATAGTGACATAACAAACTGCATGTCTTATCCTATCTCAGGTCATAATTATTGTTGTGCAACGTAAACACAGGTGTTAAAGTGACAATGCGTCTCGACACGTTTGAGATTATTTGACGATATTCACTTGATTTTTACCTTGTTTCTCAGTCAATATCAAGAAATGTTACAAATACTTCAAATAACGTAACTCCTATAATTTGCGTAACGATCAAATATTAAATATGTATACATGAAGTTGTTCCGAAAAGGGAATTGAATGTCCATGTTCATTTAACAGATATGGCCGTAGGGACAGTGTCTATATATATTTCATCGTTATGGTAACTTCATATGGCAACTGTCGCCTGTTACGGAACAATTGGTGAAACCATTATTTATCATGTTTCGACAGCAGGTGGAAGCTTCTTAGGGTTCACACTGCATTTGTCTGTATATATTACACACTGCAATATCATAGTCAAGGACGGGCTGCTCCAATTGTTTTCATGCCGGGATTCGAACCTGGGTCTGGCGTCTTTGTCTTTCCATTGTTTACAGCATTAGATGCATTAGTCTTGAAGTGTGTAAATACAACTTGAGATTGAGGCGATTGTGTCAAACAAAGAATTTACTTCGCCATAACGCGGTACTGATGGTGCCCTTCTTCTAAGATATCTTCGTTGTCCTCACTTCGTACGATGTATTTACGGATTTGACCATAACATTTGCATATAAAGGTCCTCTTGAATATTTCGTAATTAAATACTATAATGTTGGTTGTTATTATCATTAAACCATCCCTTTTATAACATTTGGGGTAAAAACACCATATTAATTTGTCTAAAGAAGTTTTGAATATTTTGTTGTCCAAGATACCACATTTTGCAGTGCAAAGTTGCATCCCTAAGGCTTGTCAGTACGTTATGAGTCTGGGTTCGAATTCTAGGTTCACCCTGTTTATAATTATGTCTCCCCCGGGTTTTCCTCCCACATGAAGCTGACACCCCGTCATGTAACTGAAAAACTGTTCAAAGCAGCGTTAAACTCCACGCACTCACCGGATTCATTTTGTCGCAATATATTTCATGCATGCATCTGCATTCGTGCTATTCCACAGCCGTTACGCAATGTGTCTCTCAGTCAAGGAAAATGTTTAAGGGAATCATCTGTGGTGGATCCAGGCAGTTTGGGTTAAACTTCTTGTTATTAAAAAAATGCTCTTCGACCCTACCCCCAATCAACGTCAGACAGGTATATATCAGAAAGGGACCGATTATTTATCATAGGTTGGGTGGGTGCGTCAGAGGGAATCAGGGGAAGGTCAACGAAACATATGACTGTCTCCTAAGAAATTCCTTAAAAAATACACATTATCATAATAAAATATAAAGTGCTTTTGCATTCTGCCTTATCTCCGATGGTCATGAAAAACATGGACAAGGACATGGAGAGGGTCATCCAAAAATATGACAAGCATTAGGGAATGGAATTTATTTTCACTACATTAGTCCATCAAAAACCTCTGGGGTAGAATAGGTCTTCAGCAACCCATTCTTGCCGTAAAAGGTGACTATGCAAGAGGCGATTATCGGCATCGGGCGGTCAGGCTCGCTGACTTGGTTGATGCACGTCATCATATCCCAATTGCGTGTATGATGCTCATGATGTCAATCACTGGATTGTCTGTTCCAGACTCGATTATTTAAAGACCGCCGTCATATAGCTGGAATATTGCTGAGTGCAGCGTTAAACAACAAAGAAACGAGTAGGGGTTACGTTGCCTGTAGCAACATCACGACATACGTGCATAGGTTTTACACGTTGTTACTGTGTCGGGAATAGAACCTGGGTATTCAGCGTTACCAGCGATCGCACTAACTACTATACCATCCCACACACTGGACAAATGGAACGTGGACACAGCGTTAGATCCAAACTGAACAAAAACACTGAAACAGTTCAACGTTAAGTATAAAGAGAGCTCTACAAGTTCGTCAATCGGGTGCATTCATCAACCGGGTTTCGATTTGATCAAACGATAACGATCAATCGTTATCACTAAACTAACGTAGATATACCAGAAACACTGGTATGGTTATTCGTTTTTCTTAGCAGAAGTATTCCAGCCATATCACGGAGGGTTATACGCCAAGAGTAGGCTTCACACAGAGTACTAGTAAATATATCCATGTTGGGAATCGAATGCGGATATTTATTCACTGGACTCTCCACCCAACGCACTACTCCCAAAAGCAGGCGGTGTGTACGGAGTTTAGAGGCACACCCATTCTTGGGTACAGCGGGATGAACATGTCCTCAACCTAGCTGGCATAAGAAACGGAACATTTTTAATAAAAGCGCCAACTTCTACTGTTTCATAAATACCCTACTACAATGAGTAAATTCTGTTTATCAATGTATCAGCAATATTGCCGTACACCAGGGTAGCATGTACGATTGTAATCGTGTGTAGGCAAGTACATGGTTGCATGAGAGGGCAACTTACAACCTTTGTGTCGTGGATTCCCATCATGCCCATTTGCGACATGAATTTGTTACATGATGTCCATTCTGCCGTGGAATGTCAGCATGGGCCACACGGGTACATGATTTAATCGAAGTATCCCTTTCTGTGATTTGCGTTATATTGTGGTGCATTGCTAACGTTCGTAATTGTGAACAAATAGTCTTTTATTATTGGCACCATAAACCAGAAGGGACGAGCTACACATGTATAGGACGCCAAGTCACTGGCTTCACGTTGTGTAGATACAGGGAACAATTAGATATTTATCATCGCCTGTAAGTGTAAATACTACAGCTCAACATAGTCACAATGTTACAGTTACATAATATATCAGTAGTCTGGGAGCTGATTTCATTCTACCTGAATGTAGGCTGTTTAAGACAGTGGTAGTCATGTTTTACTTTTAACAGAAATCATTATATTACCCTTACAGCTGCCTCTAAATATGTCTTTGATGGGCCATGTGTTTGTCGCTCATGTATGATTTTATGAATGCTTCTCCTATACTGTAAGGTATCTGTAGGATGTTAGGTTATTCCACTGCCTTCGTAAGTGTAGAGAGTATTTGGAACAGTTAAATCACTTTATCAGGCATGTTGTAGGATATCCCCTTTGTTCATGCTGTCTTTCTTTTTGTTTTCAACAAAATAGATCATTAATACTAATTATTCATCTAGGCTTTGGAGGTAAACATACTGTCATTTCAATGTAAAAGCCTGTAGATAACCATGCTAAATTGAATTTAGAACTCCAAAACATGAAATACACTCTCTTATTCGGATTCTATCAAGTTTTCCCCACAAACATATTACCACACATACATGGAATCTGAGTGGGTTGGATCGCTGACTTTGAGTGCTGGCGATTAGGTGCCTCACTCTGGCAGTGTGGGTTTTAATCCCGGACGGGACTCAACCCCAAAAAGGTACTAGAATCTGTACTTTACTAAGAAAGTGTCATCCCAAATATAACATTTGTTACATTTGATCACTTTCTAAATGACATTGTGTTCACTTACATATGCTTATTTCAAAATGCCTACCCACAATGATACAATAAGTAGTACTTTCCTGTAAATATTACCTGCCACAGTGATACTGTTAAATAAGCTGTTTCAATCAAAGGTGGTTATTGTGATTTAAAACCTCTGCTTAACCAATCAGATTCAACCATTTTCCTAATTCATGGTAGTATTTTCCTTTGAAAAAAACAACACAGAAACCACTTCCAACAACAATAAGATATTATAATGACACAAAATACACAATTTCTGCTAAAATTCACCACTTATAATTGCAAAACAATCTCAGCAGAAAGGGATGATGATATTAAATGCATTTGAAAGGAATAGTGCTAAAAGTACATGGAGAAAATGGTAGTATCCTCAAAACACATTATCCTCACATATGGTACTGGTACTCTTGCTATCTGTAATTAAATTCAATGGCCATAGAATTTAAAATGGTACATTACACAATAAAAATGTGTACCAGCCAGTGATTGTTTTCTTTTGTCCATGAAGTCCTTGTGTTTATGTGTGATAGTGGGAAATTACTTTTCCATTCTCTTGTGTGTGAGTATGGTTTTATGCCGCTTTTAGCAATATTCTTGCAATATCACGGCAGGGGACACCAGAAATGGGCTTCACACATTGTACCCATGTAGGGAATCGAAACCCGGGTCTTCAGCGTGACAAGCGAACGCTTTAACCACTAGCCTAACTGACCGTCCCCATTCTCTTGTAGAATGATACCTACACACATAACACATAGCATAACACACCTGCTCCAGAATCAAAATAATAAGAATTCTTTGGTTTAGCATGTACTGCAGTTATATCTATTGAAGAGATATAATTCAGAACCATGCTATATGTAAATTCAAGAGTGCAAACTTTTAAGCCAGCATTGTGTGAGGTTTCAAACGTTGAAATTAGCTCTGAAGCTGTCAACAATTATTGTCAAACTCTGATCAGTCCACATCTGAGAATCATGAACAGGTGGGTGTTGGTACTTCATGACAGTTTAACAATGTAGGATTCTGTGACAGTGATGTAACGTATCCAGCGGAATGGCACATAGGAATGTTCCTGGTCATACACCCTCATATAGCGGATCTGTAAGCCAGTGCAGGTGTATCCTGACACCTCGTAGTCCACAATGAGGGGGCCAATCTCCTTCTTGTTTATTTTGTCACCACCTTGGCTGATCAACTGCAATGAAAAATATTTCATTTTGTCGGTGGTTTCATGGTTTTCTTAACACTCTGATTTCAGTTACCATATTTGGCGTAATAAGCGCCCCTGGTGCTTATTACATCGAATACGGTATATCACAGCATGTCAGCTTAATGTGTGAGGAAAGCCAGGAGTCATGTAGGTCTCAGACATTTACCACTTTGATTATAGTGCTGCCAAACTAAGATCTTTGACTTCAAGACAACTCACACCTTGTTTTTCATCAAAGACTTAGTAGTGACAGCATTTGACTTTAAATATATTTATCAAACTAGACTAATATTTTTTTGGGGGGGAAATCTGGTCACTACAGAATTAGGTGAGATAAATAATGTCTATAAAATGTAAATATTATCTAAAGTCTTTTGTCAACACATGAAAGGTAAAATCAAGAGGGAAGCTTCAGTAACCTGAGAGTTGTCTAAAAGTTTATGATGTGTAAGCAAAACTACAACATAAAATAGACAAAGGCATATAGCCATCTAGTAAATTCATCATTACATCATAAACTTGTATTTGATGGAATTCACATAACAAATCAAATACATTTAGGATGAGGTTTATGTGAACAGCCTTTAATCTACCGGTAATAGGAAAATCAAAGGGGAATCAATTCATACAAGAGTTTAAACTTTGCAATCAATACCCTGAATTTTCCAATTGCTTCTGTGTTTCCAGGTAACTTCTTCATCTTCCACACTATTACCCCCTCCTCTCTCTTCAACTCGGCAATCTGACTGGGTCCACTGAGGCCCTGGGACATGCTGGAATCACAAACTTCAGTGCAGTAACGTAGCAACAGTTCAACAACGTGGGTTGCAATACATTTCCAACAACCCTTTCAGATGTTCCCTTTCTTTCAAATTTCTGAGTCCTTTAAATTCTGGGGTTCATTGTATTCTTGTGACCAGATGACTTCCATGCAGATCAAACGATGATTACTGTAAATCGTGGATTTAATGTATCTCCAATAGAATGCGACCGCTGGCCCTTAGCCAAAAATGTGACACCCCCCTCCTCTTACTTACTTATATTGGAGATTTTACGTGCACTTTCCGACTGCAGCATATTTTGCACACGGGCCCGGCCAAGCCATTTAATGTGTTTCCGAAAAGGGGAAAAAGATGTTTGGCAATCCAGTAGGGGTGTTTTAGTGGTTGCTTATATAGAATTTTGGAAATTTTGAGATTTGGAAAAAATGCCAAGAGGACCCCCTCCTCTCAAGCATCAGTGGATTTATATCTAAAGAAAATGTCCTCTGTCAGGTTTACAGGAGAATCCTCACCTTAATCCAACCTAACACACACCAAATAGCACCGCTTATTAGCGCTGAGTAGAGTACTTCCGCTAAAACAATACATGCGCGCTGGCTCGTGTCGGCCTTTGATGCAGTCGCAAAAAACAAAGACACCGTGTTGCATGGGTGACGTCTGTCTGGACTTGCAGGTGTGATCAGTGATGACCTAAGTGTGTAGAACTCTTGTCTTGACCCCAGTGTGACAATTAACAGGATGTAATTAGTGTTTGAATGACATTGTTTATATACTTGTTACAGGTGCTGCTCAATATACAGTGATGTGGAATACATAGTTGTTTGTTTTCAGCGTATGTCTGAGTTGGTATTTCCACTATTCAAAATGTCTTATTGTTGATATATATGCAATGTTTAATATGCAAGCCAAGACCACTCGCATTTAATTCACGCTCGCGTTAATTTCAAAATTTACAGTATTTCGGCACTGTGCTACTAGCAGCTGAGGGATAGCTCACTGAATCAGCTGTGTGAGGACAATCTTTTACAGGGCTTCCATTCATGAGACCAATAATTGCTAATTTATTAAAAGAATAGGAAGTAATGAATCTTGAGGCCATTCAACATTAACATTCCTGAGAATGTACTTGTGTACATGAGATGTGATGAAGACGGGTTTGGTTAGGGTTTGCCAGCACTTACAACTAATCAAAATTTTCTATATTTTCTAAACCGCAATTAACATTTTACAGATTTGCTCAGTAATACATTTGGAAATCAAACAACCAAAATTCTTTTGCTATTAAATGACGACAAAATTATGCAATCGGCTGGAATCTCACATTTTTCCCCTAAAGCCCAGGTTTTCGATAACAAGCAAAATCAACAATGAACCGACTAATATTATGACATCTGTACTGCTCAAAACAAGTGAAAGATCACCCACAATTGGAAGGCCATGTGTTGGCAATACTCACCAGCCACGACAGATTAACAAAGAGTCATATGAAACAATCGGGTGGTCTTTAACTTCTTTTGAGTAGTATATATTTCAGCTACTGACATTTAAGAATTGTTTTTCATTTCTTCTGCATGCATCGAAGTATAACAGTAAAAAATTGTATAGAATCACATTGCGTAGTGGAGCTCTCGACCTATCAGAATTGCCTAAATCTGTGTAACAAATTCATTTTGTAATTATAAACAAAATAACATCAAGCTATGAGCAATTGTGTTTCTCACTTCACTTGATAGGACATGACATTGAACCTCACCTTGTGACTGATTTTGGAATGTTTATTTTCACTGCTATGTAGACAAAATGGCAGCTGGCAGGAATTTCACACTTGAGTCTCACAGTCATGTCAACATCTCTGAGAGAATAAAAATACATTGTAAATGGAGATCTATGAAACACCAATATTTGAAATAACTTTAATTCATAAAACCAAGGTGTCGATCATAAATGTGTTCCAATTTGAATAAACTGATCTCCAGATCATGAAACTACCCATATCCAAGTAGAATGAAGGACATCATAGATGAAATTGGAGTGTTTAATGGTTAAGGTACAAACTTTTAGACCCGTGAAGATGACGTAAAGAGCCACTATGCTTGTCGTAAGAGGCGACTAACAGGATTGGGTGGTCAGGCTTGATGATATGGTTGATGCATGTCATTGTATCCCAATTGCATGGATCGATGCTCATGATGTCAATCACTGGATTGTCTAGTCCAGGCTTGATTATTTACAGACCGCCATCATATAGCTGGAATGTTGCTGAGTGCAGCGTTAAACAACAAACAAACACTTTTAATAGGGATCCCTTGATTCTAGTAGAACAGCAGTAGTATAAATCTTAGGGACCACAACATGGCTCCAAATAGTGTCTGGAAAAATATTCTCCCAGACAAAAGTCCCAGACCTACCCACTCCAGAACATAAAATAGTTGGTCGCTGGAGATAATTGTGTCTTACCTGCTACCTTTAATTTCTGACAGGAATATCATCACTCTGAGAGGGAGTGTTATAGGGAACTCTCCATGAGCACTGTATGTCATGATAGAGAACTGCAAGAGAAAAATAGTACTTTACCACGGGACAGTTAACACTTCATTCCTAGAAGCAGCTGACCTTTTGCACATACAGTCAAACACCTTTGTGTTGAACTTTGATGTGTCGAACTTACGGTTGTCTCGAAGTAAGAGTCTGGTGCCTGAGTATTCCTTCTTTATTCATTATTTTCAGCTGTGTTGAAACTCGGATAACTCGAAGTTGGTTTGTTGTTAAACGCAGCACTCAGCAATATTCCAGCTATATGACGGCGGTCTGTAAATAATCGAGTCTGGACCAGACAATCCAGTGATTGATATCATGACCATCAATCCACGCAATTGGAATCGATGACATGCATCAACCAAGTCAGCGAGCCTGACCACCCGATCCCGTTAGTCGCCTTTTACGACAAGCATAGTCACCTTTTATGGCAAGCATGGGTTGCAAAAGACCTATTCTACCCAGGAATCTTCACGGGTCGATAACTCAAAGTATTCACGCAGGTCCCTTCACCTTCGACACAACAGTGTTTGACTGTAGCTGTGAACTCTCTGCTATTACTTTCATTTTCACTCTCATTCATGGAAGCAGTTATGTGAGATTTAAGTCATATGAAACAATTCTTGCATTATGCATACCTTCAATCATCTTTGATATGATTCCATAATGCTGGATTGAAAACCAAAAATTCATGTACAATGTGTGTCTTTCATACTTCCTTGAATAGGAACACTTAGCCACATCTCAATATTCATGTGTGAGAAAGTGAGAATGAAAGTAGGGTTTTAGCAGTAATTCAGCAATATCACACACCATGCACACCAAAAGGGCTTCAGATATTGTAGTCATGTGGGGAATAGAAGCTAGGTCTTCAGCCTGATGATTGAATGCTTAAACATATACTGTGTATGACCGAGGATAAGCCGATCTCAAAGATAAGCTGAGGTATTAACTTGGTCCTTAAAATCTGTATCAAAATGTTATGTGTGGTAGATTAGCCAGACCCCAACCTAAAACTACGTCTTGTCATGATCCGTCATCCGAAATAGAAGATCAACAAATCCGTATTGAAACACGCAAGCTAATCCTGTCATTACTCCATCAGTAATAAAAAGTGTTTAATTGTATATCTGGACTTATGTTTATAATCTATGTAATCTATTTTATATTAATCTTAATCAAACATTCATTCAATAATATTTACATTAATTTCGGTGTCCATCCGGTACTTACAACTTCCGTTTGCCCCATTCCATAAGGTCCCTTCCCGCTCCTTACAGTGGGCTAACAATTGCCTATACACATACAGACTTGCAGTTTCATTATTCCCACTTTTCTCACACAGCTTACTTAAACTTACTTCTCCTGTTTGTGGGTGCACTTTCAGGATCCTGTCACTGTCAAACTCGTCAAGTTTGACACATTGGTGAAAATTACACCTGTCAAGCTGGACATTTTGTCCAAGACCTGCAAACATATGTTTGATAATTAATTAGGTATTTTACATATATGCTGAGCTAACATTTGGGGAAAAAGTGGGAAAAATATTTGACCATTTGTTAAATCTCCCTACCATTTGTTAAGTACTTTCAGTAACAAAGTAATGTCTTAGCAGGGCAATAAGGAAAGGGAAGTAACTCTTTAACAAAATATTTCTTTGAATCAAATGGTTGATAGATATTAAAACTGTGATACATGTCCCGAAATGCATAGCATTTCTTGAACCAGTCTTGGAATAAGCAGAAGGTCATAAAAGCACATGATTTCATACTGTATCGTAAACCTAAGTTCAACAGATTGTCCAAGTATTACTTTGGGGATAGGGACAGGAACATCACTATAACTACTTTGTTTACCAAGCACAATATTCTTTATAATACCTCCATGTCAGAACGGTGAGATCTGATTGGTCCACATGATCTTGATGAAATAGTATGTTTCCTGCTTTGGAGGGAAATAAATTTCTCAGTGGGAAAATAAATCCCTTATACCCTGCCACAAACAAGACAGGCAGCACGTGGATTTCTGAGAGGCAGAATAAATCCCTTATGCCCCGCTTCAAAGCAAAAAGACGCACAATTTTTCCGAGTCAATGGAAGTCACTGGTGACATAGCACAAGCTGTGTCAGCTCAATCAAACAGTTTTGAATTTGTTTGAATTCTTTTACAATGTCATATTGATTCATGTCAGTAAGATAAATTTGTTGTAGCAGGATCACTTGGATACGTAGGGTTTTATGTGTCCCTCATTAGGTCTTATGCGTCCGGCCTGTGAAATAAAACCTCACCCAGTGATGCATAAAACCCCATGTATCCCTCGTGAGTTTTCCGAATTTTTGAACATTTTATATTTTGTGTTGCCTAATGTTAACACATCATCAACCATGTCAACAGATGGAATATGAATATTTAGATATCAAATTGATGTGTTTTCCCATCTTTTTGCTGAGCCTTATCAGTTGCTTTTGGGCTGAACACTTTTATAACGTTTTAAAGGCAAGGATGTAACTAGGTAAATATGGCATGTAACACTACAAAAGAGTGACATGAAAAGCTAATCTGTTTTGGCCTACCTACCTTTCAGCTGGCCCTCCTGGTGGACAACCATATCCTCATTTAATGCTATTTTTATCAGGGGACTGCCAATCAAGAAGTTCTTCATGTTGACAGAACCGTTAATCTCCATCCGACTTACACCTCCCTGAAAACCATGACTGATATAATGATCAAATACATTTACACAAGAAATATTTTATCTAAATCTATCTACAGTAAACTACATTTGTAACGAACATGCTTATAACGAACTGACGGATATAACAAACTGTTTTTGGGTCTCATTCATTTGCTGTATATATGTTGTATATATGCTCATAACGAAATATGGTTATAACGAACTAAAGTTAGTGGTCCCTTTGCGTTCGTTATAACCATAGTTTACTGTAGTTCTATGCACAATTAACCTACTTGCTTCATCACTGCATATTCAATAACAATGCTACTGGCCATGTTAGCCTGATATATCAGTCTTCAGCCAAATGTTAGACATGTCAGTACAGATAATGATGGATTCTCTGGGTATTGCGGTGTAACTCTGTGTTTAGCTTTTCTGCCACCCTATCCTCATGAACACCTACAAAATGTTTCAGCTCCATCCCTACAACAGTTCTGGAGAATTGAAGAATTGAAAAGACTGCCAATGATGATACAGGATAGCATACTCTCGGTCTCACCATGGCTATTGTTAAAGATTGCATGTCACTGCAGCTGGCACATTCGTGACCAACTCGTGTTAATCCGCAACAAGCTGAATAGTGACTCGCTCGTGGCCATTTTAGCGACCGGGTTCCGTCTAAGCGCAAACGCGCATAGATAAAAGAATTTCAACTCGTTGCGTAATGATTCATCTATATTCCTCATACATTATAAATATTTCAGATGCAATTTAAAGCACATCTGGACATGCAGTACTATACAGTATGATTGAACACGTTTAACTGTATCTGGGGTATATTTTTAGATGCAAGACATATATAAAATAAAAAATTATTCCTGAGGGATTCTTTGATCATATGCACATTCTGATTGGTTGGTCATATTTTCACACATAACATTCATCGATAGTGGGGCAAGTCTTTTTGCAGGTTACAGAAAGGAGCAAGTGGTGACGAATGCAGCTGGCATCCAAGAATATTCTTGTGAAATAGATTCCCTGCATTCATAGCCAAGTGGACATGTATATAACGGAGCTAGCATTGCCCAGCCATGAAAACTTACCCCAAACTACAATAAAGGACAACAATCTGAGTAAATGTCAGTTTATTTCAGAAGTTATAATTCTGTAAATGTAAACTGTTAGCGTAATTCAACAAAAGTCCAACAACAGTAACACTTAAATTATCAAAGGATATGAATTGTTTTACCCTGCAATATTGTTTTAATGCAACAAAAAGTTAATTTTGTCAATGAAGTCTGATTTTGGCACAGTAAAGTTGACACTTCTCACATTCATATGAACAACGCCACCTACCAAGTTTTTCTGTACTACATGTATATGTGCCCCTCATAATAGATAGTAATCCATATCTATTAGAGATTACGGGTGAATTGAAAACACTCACATTGGAGTCGAGAACAGCTGTCAGCCTTTCAACAACATCAACAAACACCTCATTCCTCCTGTTCTCCTGAAATATAGATCTGACTGTAAATTTTATGCTAAATGTAATTAAATTTTTGTTCAAACAATAGTTCACTAATATTTGATGAAATATGAAGAAGACAAGCCAATGAAAAGTTGCTGGAAACATGCTTAAGTGCAGTCCAAACACATGTGCCTTTATGTAACCAGGCTCACCAGACTGAATGTTTTGAAATATCATGCAAACAATTTACCTGCTCAAGTTTTATTACCTTAGTCGATCTAGCAATACCCAATGAACCTAATCAATCTCGCTGCCGCTACACAAAGATCCGAGGACATCCAATTACGGGTCACGTCAGAACGACCTTTCGTGAACTTTGACTGACCACTGAAATTGCTAACAAGAAGTCAACATCAGCCAATTAGAAAGCAGCTTTCTTGAGCTTTTACGGAACTCATTTCAACCTGGAGACTACACTTGAAAAATATGTTTACACAGTTTTCGATTAAAAGTTTGAAAACTGAACAAACGAACATTTCAGTATGTCCAATATATGGTTGAGATTGTATGGCAGTGCTTCCCACGTACTGTGCAATGCCTCCTCCATTCAAATGTTTATCCCACGGAAGCGAGAGATAGACGATAATTTTGACGGAATCAGTCTTACGGGCCGTAACTGTCGTTCAGAATACCCCATGTTAAATTTTTCGAGAGTGAATGATTAGACAACACATTCCAACCGTCATTTTCATGATCTGGTAAGCAACACTTTGATTTATCAGATGAATGGTCGTTCTGACATGACCCGTAATGGGATGTCCTCAGATCTTTGTTTAGCAATAGCGAGAACTAAGATCTGATTTTAATGAGATCGTGAACCTAATTGTCTTAATTTCACACAAGGTACTAATTACATGTCTACTAAACTGAAAAAGCCTTACTCAGTCTCTTACTTCACACCTAGCTTTCCTTTTGGCTTTGAACACTTTCCATTAAAACCTGAAGAGTGAGTGAGTGAATAATAAAGCACCAGGGCCAGGATAAGGATTGGAGTAACCTTAAACTGCTATTCTACCATGAATTTGGAAATGTCTCAATTCTGATTGGTCAATCAGAGGTTTCAAATCATAATAACCACCTCTAATTGAAACAAGTGATGGGTAAGGTACTTGCCATATCTGCTTGTGATCGGATGACAGGCTTGTTCGCTGCACTGAAGGGCACGACCCTGCTGTCGATTCCAAGCTGAAGGGAAGTAAGTGCATTGACTGTATGATGGAAATGACAATGTTACATTCATGATTTAATCCATCTTATTAATCAACGCTGGATATACAAAGTCAAAGAAACCTTTTCACTCCCACATAACATTTGGAATTAACCCTGACATGAAGTTAGACATTCATAGAGTGTTTCTCAATACACAACTTCACTATACGTGTATCACTATATCAACATCTGACATGTTCAGTTACTTCATGTAGACCTGCATGGTCTTCTATTTAATCATACTCTAACACAAGGATCAGTGTAACGGCAATGGTATGGCGCGGGCTGGTCAACATGATCATCGTTAATGCAATTAAGAATTATTCTATTCCATTATACAGAACAGTTATATATACAGAACCACTCACTAGTCTAGCTGCCACATCTTCTTGTGTTGATCGGCTTGTTTCTATGACAACTGGCTCACTAGTGATGTAAGGTTTCAACTTGTCAGTACTTGCAAGCTGGATATAACCATAGTCCTAAAATGGAAACTTTAAGTCTATACTCACATGGACATTTACATGATTAAACTATAACGCTAATTGAAAAGTGACCCACATGGACGTTATAAATGAGTTTACTGTATATAACTCAATAATCAGCAAACAACTACACCAAATATGTAGACTTGGAATACTGTGATGTAGTATGCGGTATTAGCAGTTGATTGATCCTGCGAGAAATGTGAACTTAATTCCATGAAATCACTAGCATGAAATGCGAAATAAGGCACATTCAAATGAGATATGAGATAAGGCCATTTAATACAGATTGTAAACGTTCCAAGAAGTTATTAAACAAGGCAGCATGATCTTTGGAACATGATTCAGCAATGGTATGTATTCAATAAGCATCATCACGCTGGCCATAACTGTATTGGTACTCGTGGATGAGCAGTGTTTTGACAATATCGTATTCGACATAATAATCGCCCCGCTCTAATAAGCACCTACGGCGATATTTGCGAATACATTGGCTAGTGAACAATCTCAATTAGCACCTCTTCCGATTGATCAGTATACACAAGACTTATTTATTTGTGTATAATATGCACACATGTGTTATATGCAATTAAAAATTAAATCCTTGAAAAATATATCTGTTTTATATAAACATTTCAGGCTACCAGCATTAACCACGAAATTTACGATCTTTCAACTCTGTTTTTTTTCACGATTTCTAATTTAGAGAGCGCCCTGGGTGCTTATTACACCGAATAGGGTAATCATAACTGTATAGGTACTCATGATTTCCAGTATATAAACATATACAAACCAGCATTTCATCCAGTACTTCATATAACAAAAGGAGGTTACTTTTGATAGCATTTTCAGACACTGTTCCACAGAAGTCCTTACAAACATGGTATAATCTGAAAATAAATGGCGACTCTAGAACAAAGATGAAGTTAACACTGGCCACATGTCATGCAACTGCCAAAACTGCTATTTATATCATGAATATTTCATTAATGAATAGAACTTTGGTATTAAACCATGTGTATGATATCTATTACATGGGCAGTGGTGTCCTAGAGAGGTGAGGAACATAGACAGGGGTGTCCTAGAGATGTGAGGAACATCGACAGGGGTGTCCTAGATATGTGAGGAACATCGACAGGGGTGTCCTAGAGATGTGAGGAACATAGACAGGGGTGTCCTAGAGATGTGAGGAACATATACAGGGGTGTCCTAGAGATGTGAGGAACATCGACAGGGGTGTCCTAGAGATGTGAGGAACATCGACAGGGGTGTCCGAGAGATGTGAGGAACATCGATAGGGGTGTCCTAGAGAGGTAAGGAACATAGACAGGGGTGTCCTAGAGAATAGAGGAACATAGACAGGGGTGTCCTAGAGAGGTGAGGAACATAGACAGGGGTGTCCTAGAGAGGTGAGGAACACAGACAGGGGTGTCCTAGAGAGGTGAGGAACATAGACAGGGGTGTCCTAGAGATGTGAGGAACATACACAGGGGTTCTAGAGATGTGAGGAACATACACAGGGGTGTCCTAGAGAATAGAGGAACATATACAGGGGTGTCCTAGAGAGGTGAGGAACATAGACAGGGGTGTCCTAGAGAGGTGAGGAACACAGACAGGGGTGTCCTTGAGATGTGAGGAACATACACAGGGGTGTCCTAGAGAATAGAGGAACATAGACAGGGGTGTCCTACAGAGGTGAGGAACATAGACAGAGGTGTCCTAGAGAGGTGAGGACCATAGACAGGGGTGTCCTAGAGATGTGAGGAACATACACAGGGGTGTCCTAGAGATGTGAGGAACATACACAGGGGTGTCCTAGAGAATAGAGGAACATAGACAGGGGTGTCCTACAGAGGTGAGGAACATAGACAGAGGTGTCCTAGAGAGGTGAGGACCATAGACAGGGGTATCCTAGAGATGTGAGGAACATACACAGGGGTGTCCTAGAGATGTGAGGAACATAGACAGGGGTGTCCTAGAGATGTGAGGAACATACACAGGGGTGTCCTAGAGAGGTTAGGACCATAGACAGGGGTGTCCTAGAGATGTGAGGAACATACACAGGGGTGTCCTAGAGAGGTGAGGGACAGAGACAGGGGTGTCCTAGAGAGGTGAGGAACATACACAGGGGTGTCCTAGAGAGGTTAGGACCTTAGACAGGGGTGTCCTAGAGATGTGAGGAACATACACAGGGGTGTCGTAGAGAGGTGAGGGACAGAGACAGGGGTGTCCTAGAGATGTGAGGAACATACACAGGGGTGTCCTAGAGAGCCGAGGGACAGAGACAGGGGTGTCCTAGAGAGGTGAGGAACATACACAGGGGTGTCCTAGAGAGGTTAGGAACATACACAGGGGTGTCCTAGAGATGTGAGGAACATACACAGGGGTGTCCTAGAGAGGTGAGGGACAGAGACAGGCGTGTCCTAGAGAGGTGAGGAACATAGAGATGTGAGGAACATACACAGTGGTGTCCTAGAGATGTGAGGAACATACACAGGGGTGTCCAAGAGAGGTGAGGGACAGAGACAGGGGTGTCCTAGAGAGGTGAGGAACATAGTCAAGGGTGTCCTAGAGAACAGACTAACATAGACAGGGGTGTCCAGGAGAATAGAGGAACATGGACAGGGCTATCCCAGAGAACAGAGGAACATAGACAGGGCTATCCTAGAGAACAGAGGAACATAGACAGGGCTATCCCAGAGAACACAGGAACATAGACAGAGGTGTCCTAGAGAGAGGTGAGGAACATAGACAGGGGGGTTCTTGGGTACAAAGAAGATATACAGGGGTGCCCTAGAGAGATGTGGAACATAGTCAAGGGAATCGCTGGGGTAGAAACCCTACACTTGGGTTCCATGGACAAGAAGAAACATGCATTTAAAAGAATGCCGACAATCAAACTGCTGTGGTTGTGATGACCACAAATTCAAAATTATAGTTATTTAGTTATATCATAGTTATATCATAGTTATATCAGAGCTCGTTTCATTACAAACCGATGCTGCTTGGTTCCTACCTGCTGAGTATTTCTATCACTGCTACTGGTGATAGTTCAGATGTTGATGTTGCAAAGAAAATTAGGTTATTTCTCTCAATGTAGAAGTAAGATACATTGTCATCCTTCTGCAAGAAAACATAAATTACAGCAATGAATCACACCAAAGTGCATAGAACTTAATACCATTGACCATGACAATTTCCTGACACCAAACAAGTTGAAAGTAATTCCTATGTTTCTTAAACTTTCCAAGATATTATAATGTTCGTCATGTAGAAGAAAGCTCTACAGGTGAGGCTCCATTACCATCTACATCAGCTCTGATATGTGTATCAGTTTATCACAGGGATATCAAACATCTGAGCTTTGACATGGCCACTATTCTGTCAGTTTGACTAGTGAAAATTCCAAGAACTAGCAGTTTTATCCCAAATTGTAGTGATATTAAATAAATATTTTCTCCACAAATTGCAGACTTATTCGGTTCAGCTCACGGAATTTAATGCAGATATAAGCAGTGTTATTTTGCCTCATTCCAAAGCCATCTGTCATAGCCAATATTGCTGTTTAATGTATCACTACTAAGTACATGTACTTACAAAGTGAGGCTGTAGATTCCTGCCATCCTGGTTAAGTTTCTTCACAAAGACACCAGTTGTGTTGCTTTTTAGGTGATCCTTTCGATCTTTTAGTTGTTAAAGTTCACAAGCTGATTATGAAGTGACACATTTGGTTATATTTCATCGCATTATCACAAATGTTACAACAGAATTCCAATTAGAATGCTAGACCATATTTTGAATATGCAAAGCATATCTTTAAACATCTCGAAGATTTAACCTAGTGACTTAATCCCAGATGTATATGCTGTAATATAATGTTATACAAAGGAAAAGTAACTAATTGCATTTGTAGGAGATAACCAGGCACCTCATTACATGGGGCATAGTTGAAAGTGGGCTAGTACTCTCACCAACATTGTCCCCTGTTGGATCCACTCAAGTTTTCTTGCTATAATCACACACCGAATGTGTAGATGGCCTTTGAAGTTAATGTCTTTATGATCTTTTGTGTTCAATTGTTGGTCATATACCAAATAAAATAGCCCACTGGCTCAGTTTTCATTCTTTGTCTTCTTGTTTGTTGTTTAACGCCGCACTCAGCAATATTCCAGCTATATGACAGCGGTCTGTAAAATAATCGAGTCTGGAACAGACAATCTAGTGATTGACATCATGAGCATCGATCAATGCAATTGGGATTGATGACATGTATCAACCAAGTCGGGAGTCTGACCACCCGATCCCGTTAGTCGGCTTTTACAACAAGCATAGTCGCCTCTTTACGGCAAGTATGGGTTGCGGAAGACCTATTCTACCCCTGAATCTTCACGGGTCCAGTTTTCATTCAATAGACTGCAATGATGTACTGATCAAGTATACATGGTAAACTTGATGTATTTCATTAGTAATGACATGTAGAACCCTTTCTTGAAGAATAGCTTCATTGTGAGTTCTTTACATGTGGTCAATAAGGATAATTGGTATTGTAAATCAGTACGCTTATAAAATCTGTTCGACATAAAAAAGTATCACAAAAACTTGATTGCTCCTGGAAATCTAAGGCATGTATCTGTTTATTTTCACCCAGATTCATGTCATGGTGAGTATGCTTGTGAAGGTTGCTCAACAATAATTAAAGTATATTACTGCATTCACCAATTTCATCACGTCTGAAACAGGCAAAACCCAGGCAGGTGGGTGATAGCATGAGCAATGATCAACGCTGTCATGTTACCACGACTGCGATCGTATGACGGCACACCAGATGATCTCTGATGATAACACACTCAGATTCACGTGAAAAAGATACATGTCTTCTTTAAAAGTGGTTCATAAATTGGAGAAAGTACACATATTTCAGAAATCATGGCAACGCAATACTGTCTTGTTTAAAAACACGTTTAACTTTGCAACATCATTTTTCGAGCACCTGTTTCGTCTGCATTCATCCGGGCATTTCATTCCGGAAATCACGTCGGCAACGAGAATTCTCGAGATTGACGGCAAATGTTCCTGTACACTAACACGGAAAATACAACCGTTTACTTCAGTTTTTATCCCGATCGGTGTAACGATTCCACGACATATCAGGTATTAAGAGTTTAATCATTCTATGTATAATCTTAAATTTGCATTTTGGCAACATATTATTATTGACTGATTATATCACACCGTTTTCTTCACTGTCCCTCTCCACACGTTAGGGCCTATCTGAAGTGGTGAACCTAACCTAAATCCTGTGATCCGATTATGTTGGATTTGTTCACTTGATGTTATATCGGTTGTATTCCTTATCCTGTTCTTTGTTATTGCACAATCTCCACCATACCTCTTTTAACTGCGCTGTAGCATCTATAGATATGCTTCGGTGCAAGACCTTTGCCTAACGAGCAGTGATGCTGAAAACTTGCACTGTGCTGGGCTACACATTCCCTTCCTAACGTATTTCAACCTGCTGATGTTATACACGTTATGAAAGTAATGTTTGAGATAAAGATTGACTTACATTACGTCAATACTGGGCAATTTATCAATCATTTTAGCGAAATCACATAACTTTATCAGCTGTTAATATGTACGTGTGTTATAGGCCTAATGTCCACAGCTACAATAGTGATTAACGTTTACAAAGCTATTAGATCAGTCTAACCCTGTCCTCATCCGATTCTATTGATTTTACATAGTACACAAACATATGAACATATTATGGACATGGATTTAAGTTGGAGTTTACTCCTGGAAATGTGTGGACAATAATCACGATAATGGTTTTAGCATGCCTACAAGATACAATGATACAGTGATGTCAGATACAATATATACCATGTTTACAAGTAAAAACATACCCATAATAGCCTAGTCGGGTAGCCTAGTGGTTAAAGCGTTCACTCGTCACGCCGAAGACCTGGGTTCGATTCCCGACATCGGTACAATGTGTGAAGCCCATTTCTGGTGTTCCCCGCCATGATATTGCTGGAATATTGCTAAAAGCAGCGTAAAACCATACTCACTCACTCACTCTGATGAAACAAAATCCAATGATGTTATTGTTAACTTGAAAATATCATTGATGTAAACATCTCTTGTACGTCTTCCCCATGTTCACTAAGTCTATTCTGGCATGTTTGTAGGTCAGCAAGATGCATCCAGTAATCAATATTAGAAGATGAACCTTGTTTTGGACATATCAGTTGTTGTAATATATGTTTTGAGTTTACATTCATGTAACTTGTAAGATGGATAACTGTTTATCAAGGGTTTGTTGTATCAAGAGACTTTGTACCATGATACAGGTCTCATATTGTGAGGTGATACGATCCAAAACTATGCAAACTTTTATAAGCAACTATGCACGATAAGGAAGACGTGTGACATGGTGTAAATGAATTGTAAAATACTTTTCTCCTGATTGTTTGTACAAGAGTACATCACATCCATTCACTGTTTTTGTATATAACTTGAGTTTACCAAAAAAATTTTGTTGTTAATTCCTTTTGATGAGGGAAGACTCCTTAATCAAGTGAATGTGTGATGTGTTTGTATACTTTGTACTGTACCATTATATTACCGTAACACAGACCTTGTCTTAATAATGCTAGTAACAGAATTGCATCTATCGAGTAGAATTCCTGTACCACTAGTACTACTACTAACAATAATGATAGTAATAAAAATATATCACTCATCGAGAAGGACTTAGTGTATGTTACTGACAATGATTTGTCTGGATTCAGGATGTAGTTGCTAAGGTTACCAGTGACAAATATGTTATTAAATGTTGACAAATTAGCAGGTAATCAGAGGTAACAAATAATCATTGTGAAATATGACTCTCAGTCAGGGTTGGAAACTAAACATATTTAGTCCACTAGTCCTTATAATGATAACATATAGCAAAATCCTTTTAAATGACAAATTTCTACTAGTCCTTATGATACCTTAACTATTGGGCAGTTTGGCAAGGACTACAGGACTAGCCAATTTCTAACGCTCCTCTCTAAAATATTTCATATACAGTAAACTACGGTTATAACGAACACGCTTATAATGAACTGACGGATATAATGAACTTACTTTTTGGTCCCGACTACTTGCTGTAGTCATGCTGTATATGTACTTATAACGAACTACGGTTATAACGAACTAAAATTAGTAGTCCCTTTGAGTTCGTTTTAACCGTAGTTTACTGTATGTAGAACACTATTACAACTAAAAGTTGCTGGAACTTAAACAGTAAGCTATGTCAATAAATATATTTACATTCATCATTGTCCATGTACTGAGCATGCTTAGCACTGGTCTTGTAATGACTTTGCAATGGCATGTTAAGATAAGTATGATAAACATGATTCGTTGTTATAGTAAGTAAATGTGAACAATAAAAACTGTTACATGTAAGAAAATGTTGGGTGTGTCACAAACATGACCATCTGAATCATGTACATGTTAATGCGTTTACTTATCACAGTTTGGGTGATAGGTGCATAGTGAGAAGTTACTAAAAAGGGCAGAAAATCCTTGTCACTCATGTACCTAGGCTAAGCAATCTTAGCTCTATGACTATTGGATTGCTACTTAAGGTTTGTGAGTTTTACTAAGATTTGAATCCCTACAATTGCTTTGTGTGGGCCCTTGGTTGTTTAATTGAATCATGATATTATTATGCCAGGGATTAATCCAGGATTGCCAACTAAGTGTCCTTGGCAGGCAAATTGGGGAAAAAGTTAAAAAAATCTTTGTTCAAAATTGGATTTTTTAAAATGTTCTTATTTTTGTAAATTCTGAGGAATCTGGAAACTAAGTGTCCTTGGCAGGCAAATTGGGTAAAAAGTAAAAGAAATCTTTGTTCAAGATTGGATTTTTTTAAATGTTCTTATTTTTGTAAATTCTGAGGAATCTGGAAATTTTTAATTCATATCGTGAATTTTTACTGTCAATTGATGCTGTCCTGAACCAAATATCAAAGCACTTAAGCAGATCTAGATAAATCCCTGTATGCTGATAAAAATAGTTTGCAATCTTTTGGTTGGTCAAAAATATTACAATATTTCAATTACATATAATAGTATATTATTTTTTAAGATATATGTCACAATAACATCTTGTCTGAGGCACTTTTATTTGCTTTGCTGAGTTATAAACATGCTTACTCATGCCGGAATCCAGTGAGCTTGGGTTCAAATTCCACCTTTGGCTTGATTAGGATTCTGCATGACTATGGGCCTTTGCTCATGTGTTTCACAACAGTGGGGGGGGGGGGGGGGGGTCAGCATGGTCAGGTGGCTTAGTGGTTAAAGCATTCGCTCATCACGCCGAAGGTCCGGGTTAGATTCCTGACATGGGTACAATGTGTTAAGCCTATTTCTGGTGTACCCCACCGTGATATTGCTGGAATATTGCTAAAAGCGGCGTAAAACCATACTCACTCACTCACTTGTCACAGAAGAGACCATTAATGATCACTCACCCACTCACTCACTGACTCACTCACAACAGTGGTAAACTATAGACTTGCATCATTTGAGTTTTCTCCCCTATTAAACTGATAATGTCATGATTTGTACTGAAATACAGTTCAAACATATCAAAGAGGTGTTAAACACAACTCAGTCACTAAAAACAGGATGTGAGTAAGTATAGAAACAAGAGAAAGCAGAGGATATCAAACAGATTAGCATGGTCCTTGGTATGGTGGGTATACTCATGTATCCCTCCTGCTGTGTCATCTGATCTATTGAGTACTATTGTTGACATTTGTCTCATATCATCTTTCTTATCAGTAATAGCTTTATCAAGTTATCATGGGTAAACATATTGCATATCAACAACGCTCTTATAAATATGCTTCTAGTTCTAAACATTTTGAATGATTCTGAAGAATGTTTTCACTTTTCTGGAAAATCTTCAGCATTGTTCTGTGTCCTGAACAACAAACACATCTAAATATAATCCTCTATCAGCTGATCAGTAAAAAGGACCAGTTTAGAAATACTTCATTATAACCACGATAACAGCATGTTGAATAAAATCAATATTTTCTCTTTTAGTGCTTTCACGTTTCTAAAAAGGCAACTATAATGAGGAACCCCAGACATTTTCCTTGAAAGTTGAATGATCAACTGTGTGGTTAGATAACTCTCCATGCTCACAAGAACACTTGTGGGATACGTCACAAACAAGCTACATGATGTTAGCTCTCAATGTTCAAGGCCACATGTACACAATAGGTAGCCTGACTTGCTTAATGTACATACCAGTAGTAAGCTGGTAGGCAGAGAGAATATTCAACCAGGGACTGTTTTCTTCATTATCGACATGATTTTTATATTTTACAACTGTTTTTCTCAACACTGCATAGTTGTCCTACAAAAACAGTCAGGCATAGCTCTTTTTTTACCTGTTTGCTTGTAAAATAACTGTTCAGATTTATTGTAGATTAGATATTTGATTGTTCAGAAATTATGCATCCACAATTAACTCAACATGCTGAAATCATTTGTTTTATACACTTTATTCAGATGTATTGTAGGCCATAGGCCCATGATACAATGGTTACAGTGTGGTGATGGGAGTTGGAGATCCCAACAGACTTTGCCTTAGATTCATAGCTTTTAGAATATACATGGCTAGTTTCTTAACAGTAAATGGGTTGGTAGATGACATTAAAATATTGTACTTATGTCTTGCCGGGAACTCATAATAATTCAAGGATATATATTCTGACCTCAAAACTTGATAACAATCACAAATTAAAATAAAGTGATACTCATCTTCGATATAATCATGTTTACAAACAGTACAAACTCTTTCTTCTCTAGGTTCCTTATTATGTCTACCTGATTCAATTCTTAGATGATGAGAACTACATCTGAAACGAGCCATAATACTTCTAAATTTATCACATGATAGCCTTGTAATATACATTTCAACACCAAATGTTTGCTTATACAAAGAATAATAATATGATT